GATATTTCTAAGCCGATTTTCGAACATCCGACCATGGCAAACGAAAGAGCATACTTTTTTCTATATAATGGCATATTCTTTAGAGATTTTTTCTAAATAGTTAAAATTTTATGAGGAATATAGACAAAATTTTAGTATCGTTCGTTAGCGAATTTTCACGGTTTTTTCAATACTAAATTGAAAAAAAGTGATACTTCTAAGCCGAATTTCGAACATCGGTCAATTCCAAACGAAAGAGCATACTTTTTTCTATATAATGGCATATTCTTTAGAGAACTTTTCTAAATATTTAAAATTTTATGAAGAACATAGGCAAAATTTTAGTATCGTTCGATAGCGAATTTTCACGGTTTTTTCAATATTAAATTGAAAAAAAGTGATACTTCTAAGCCGATTTTCGAACATCGGTCAATTCCAAACGAAAGAGCATACTTTTTTCTATATAATGGCATATTCTTTAGAGAACTTTTTCAAATAGTTAAAATTTTATGGAAAATATAGACAAAATTTTATTATCGTTCGATACCGAAATTTCACGGTTTTTTCAATTAGATACCGAAATTTCACGGTTTTTTCAATTATAAATTGAAAAAAAGTGATATTTCTAAGCCGATTTTCGAACATCTGACCATTCCAAACGAAAGAGCATACTTTTTTCTATATAATGGCATATTCTTTAGAGATCTTTTCTAAATAGTTAAAATTTTATGAAGAATATAGACAAATTTGAGTATCGTTCGATAGGGAATTTTCACGGTTTTTTCAATTATAATTTGAAAAAAAGTGATATTTCTAAGCCGATTTTCGAACTTCTGACCATGGCAAACGAAAGAGCATACTTTTTTCTATATAATGGCATATTCTTTAGTGAACTTTTCTAAATAGTTAAAATTTTATGAAGAATATAGACAAAATTTGAGTATCGTTCGATAGCGAATTTTCACGGTTTTTTCAATTAAAAATTGAAAAAAAGTGATATTTCTAAGCCGATTTTCGAACATCTGACCATGGCAAACGAAAGAGCATACTTTTTTTCTATATAATAGCATATTCTTTAGAGAACTTTTTTAAATAGTTAAAATTTTATGAAAAATATAGACAAAATTTTAGTATCGTTCGATAGCGAATTTTCACGGTTTTTTCAATTATAAATTGAAAAAAAGTGATATTTCTAAGCCGATTTTCGAACATCTGATTATTCCAAACGAAAGAGCATGCTTTTTTCTATATAATGGCATATTCTTTAATGATCATTTCTAAATAGTTAAAATTTTATGAAGAATGTAGACAAAATTTGAGTATCGTTCGATAGCGAATTTTTACGGTTTTTTCAATTTTAAATTGAAAAAAAGTGGTATTTCTAAGCCGATTTTCGAACATCTGATTATTCCAAACGAAAGAGCATGCTTTTTTCTATATAATGGCATATTCTTTAATGATCATTTCTAAATAGTTAAAATTTTATGAAGAATATAGACAA